AAGATTCTAGTTCCCATATTTATGAGTATTGATTGTTTCGATGGGTCACATAAGCCACCAACTCTACCTTGCTAATTTCAACTGTTCCTGTAAAGCCTAGGTCAAAAGCTCTTTTCTATGCAGCTTTTTTAAAAAATCTTTCCTCCTTCTTCATAAACCATCATCCCACATTTCCACTCTGACCCTACCCCAACCCTTTCAGAAATGATCCCTTCCTCATGTGAACGAACCACTTTGTTAATCATTGTATTTTCCTATTATTTTCTCTTAATGGTTATCTGTTCACATTTCAAATCTCTTCTATTAAACCATTAGGTCTTGGAAACAGGAGTTTTGTATTCTTTGTATTCCCCACAGTATTTAGAGGAATATCTTGTACATAGTTGCCACTGAATACATATTGGATGAATGGATGGATGAATGCGCTGATTTTATATGGGCATTGATTAAAAACAAGACAGCAGTGTCAACTAGGTGATCACAAGGTTAATGTTGTAATCAAAATTAAAATGTGGCCGATTTTAATCTTTGCCCTATGATGAAGCATTTCACCTGTTCAAAGTCTGCTTGATTCCAGTTAGTTGTTTAAAAGGTTCCCAGGGTGCTGTTCTGCAAAGATCACATGAAGCATATCAATTCAAAGATACTAGTAAGCTCTCATTTATTCACAGAATAAAACATGTACATATTAACATAATATTGTATTCAACATCACTTTAAATATTATGAATTTGCATGGCATAATGGATAGAGTGCAGGACATAGAGTCAGGAAGGCCTGAGTTCCAATCCAGTCTTTGACACTTAGTAGCTGTGTGACTTTGGGCAAGTCATTTAACCTCTGCTTACCTCAGTTTCTTCTTTTGTAAAATGTGAATACTACTAACACCTACCTCCCAAGGTTAAGGATCAAGTGAAATAATATTTGCAAAGTGCTTTATAAAGCAATCCTAAAAATGCTATATAAGTGGTGGCTATTGTTATCATTAAGGAAGAATTTTGTAAAATTGAAAATTAATCACTGAAAATGTATGATTGAAAAGTTTTCCTGGGACAATTTCTTCTCTAGGTATGAAATGCAAGAAACAGCTCAGATTTATAGACTGTTTGAAAACTTTATCTCATGTGAGCATCACAGAGTAAATACTATTATTATACCTACTATGCAAATGAACTGAAGGTCTTATCTACAAGCTGTACAACAATTAAATATAGGGGGAAAAATTCAAACTCTGGATTCTCCTGATTAAGTCTTCTGCTTTCTCCATGCTTCTTTTTTTTGTTTCTATTATTACTTTTTAATTTACTTATTTTTAGTTTTCAACATTTACTTCCACAAGATTTTGAGTTCCAAATTTTCACCCCATCTTGCCCCTCTCTCCACCTCAAAATGGCATACATTCTGAATATCCCTTCCCCTAATCTGCCCTCCCTTCTATCTCTCCACCCTCTTCTCTTATCCCCTTCCCCTTCTATTTTCCTGTAAGGCAGGATAGATTTCTGTACCTCCTTTCCTGTATTTCTTATTTTCCAGTTGCTTGTGAAAACACTTTTTTTTAAACACATGTTTTTAAAATTTTCAGTTCCAAATTTTCTCCATTCCTCCCTCCTCACCCACCCTCATTGGAAAGGCAAGCAACTCAATATAGGTTATACATGTGCAGTTATGCAAAATACTTCCATAGTAGGCAAGTTGTGAAAAGCTAATTCTATTTCCCTTAAGCCTATCCTGCCCCCCCATTTATTCTATTATTTCTTTTGACCCTGTCCCTCCTCAGAAGTATTTGTTTCTGATTACCCCCTTTCCCAATCTGCCCTCCTCTCTATCATTCCCCTGCTCTCTTGTCCTCTTCTCCTCCTATTTTCCGGTAGGGTAAGACAAATTTCCATACCCAATTGAGTGTGTATGTTATTCTCTCCTTAAGCCAAATCCTATGAGAATAATATTCACTCATTCCCTTTCACCTTCCCCCACTTCCCCTCCACTGCAAGAGCCTTTTCTTTTCTGTTTTTGGTGAGATAATTTACCCCATTCTACCTCTTCCTTTCTCCTCCCAGTATAATTCCCTCTCACCCCTTAATTTTATTCTCCAGATATCACCCCTTCATCTTCAACTCACCCTGTGCCATCTATCTATCTATATCTATATCTATAAATACATATAATTTTTTCCCTCCAACTACCCTAATACTGACAAAGGTCTCATGAGTTATAAATATCACCTTTCCATGCAGGAATGTACACAGTTCAACCTTAACAAATCTCTCATCATTTCTCTTTCCTGTTTACCTCTTCATGAGTCTTTTATTTGAAAGTCAAATTTTCTATTCAGCTCTGGTCTTTTAATCAAGAATGCTTGAAAGTCCTCTATTTCACTGAATAGCCATTTTTTACCCTGAAGGATTATACTCAGTTTTGCTGGGTAGGTGATTCTTGGTTATAATCCCATCTCCTTTGCCTTCCAGAATATTATATTCCTTGCACTGTGGGCCTTTAATGTAGAAGTTACTAAATATTGTGTTATCCTGATTGTGTTTCCATAGAACTTGAATTGTTTCTTTCTGGCTGCTTGTAATATTTTCTCCTTGACCTGGGAACTCTGGAATTTGGCTCCTTTAGGGAACTCTTTTAGGAGAAGATCAGTGGATTCTTTCAATTTCTATTTTGTCCTCTGGTTCTAAAATATCAGGGCAGTTTTCCTTGATAATTTCTTGAAAGATGATGTCTAGGCTCTTTTTTTGATCACGGCTTTCAGATAGTCCAATAATTTTTAAATTATCTCTCCTGGATCTAATTTCCAGGTCAGTTGTTTTTTCCAGTGAGATATTTCACATTGTTTTCTAATTTTTCTTTCTTTTGGATTTGTTTTACAGTGTCTTGATTTCTTATAAAGTCCTCTTCCATGTGGCCAATTTTGCTTTTGGGGGCATTCTTCTCCTCATTGGCTTTTTGGGCCTTTTTTGCCATTTGGGTTAGGCTATTTTTTAAAGTGTTATTTTCTTCAGTATATTTTTGGGTCTCCTTCAGCAAGCTATTAACTTGTTTTTCATGATTTTCTTGCATCACTCTCATTTCTCTTCCCAATTTTTCCTCTACTTCTCTTACTTGCTTCTCAAAATCCTTTTTGAGCTCTTCCATGGCCTGGGACCAATCCATATTTTTCTTGGAGGCTTTGGATGTAGGAGCTTTGACTTTGTTGTCTTCTTTTGGTTGTATGTTTTGATCTTCTTTGTCACCAAAGAAAGGTTCTATAGTCTGACTTTGTGCAGTTTGCTCATGTTCCCAGCCAATTACTTAGCTTTTAAACTATTTGTTAAGGTAGGGGTCTGCTTCCAGTGTGGAGAATGTAATATTCCAAGCTTTAGGGGTTTGTACAGCTGTTTTCAGAGACACTTCTAGGGACCTGTAAATTTTCAGTTCTTCCAAGGTGTTATGATAAGGGGGCAAGGTGTTTACTCCTTTGCTGGCCTGTGCTCTGGGGTCTATGAGTGACCACAAGCACTCTTTTCTGTCTTGGAACTATGAGGAGGATTTTCTCTTTACTGCCTCTACAAGCTGTACCATGTCAGTGTTCCTCCTTGCCCCAGAACTGTCCCTCAGAACTGTGACCCAGATCCAAGCACAGGTAAAGCAAGAGATTCCTGCCTCAGCACTGGCAAAGAGATTCCTGCAATCCCCCTCTGATCAGCCACCCGATTCCCCCTCAGTCTGTGGGCCATGCTGGGGAACTGGGGCTGAGACCTAGCTTTTCTCTCATGGCAGAAACAGACTTTTCCTACTGACCTTCTAAGTTGTCTATGGCATTTGTGGGTTGAGAAGTCTGGAATCCACCACAGCTGCCTGTGATGCAGTCCTCTGAGGCCTGGTCCAGGTTCACTGCGGTCTGCTTGCCCAAAACCATGCTCTTCTTCCAGCCTAGAGACAATATACCTTTCTGATCAACCATCTAGGTTGTCTTGGGCTGGAAATTTATTTCACTCTGTCTTTTTGTGGGTTCTGCTGCTGAGGAATTTGTTTAGAGCCATTTTTTATAGGTATTTGGAGGGGTTTGGGAGAGAGCTCAAGCAAGTCACTGCTTTCACTCTGCCATCTTGGCTCCACCCCCTCTCCATCCTTCTTAACAAAGCAACAAATTAACTTCCTATAGACATTAACTGACTTTTACTCTCCCTTTCTAGTTTATTTCTTGAAATAAGGAGAAAGAAAGGAAGGGGGGAAATGGGTCATAGAAATAATGACATACTACCTAATTAGGTGTAGTTTCCCTGAAGCTCCATAGAATGGGCATAATAAAGTTCTGAAAAAGGATCCCTACCATGCCTTTATTCTCAAATAGCTTAAATACTTTTATTGCTTTTCATAAATCACCAAGACAGAAATTCTGAACTTTACAAAGAAACATAACAAGCCTAGATGTCTTCAACGTACTGCCACTAGATGGAGGTATTAAACTGTTTTCTAAGTCTTCAATGACAAAAAATTCAACAGTAAAGATGAAGAGTACAGTAGAGGGCCCAATTTTTTCCAACCAGGATTTTAAACAGGAATCATTTCCTAAGAAATATAATGGAAGCAAAAGCAGGAAAGCTTAGATATAAAAGCATTTTCTGCATACTTTGAAAAAAATACTGCTTCCATAGCTTTTTCTCCTTTAATCAACATGTCTCTCTCTTAATGGTCCACCAACAGAACATTTAATGTACAGGGCTGAAGGGCAGGAAGCATTTCATATCCTTATACCTTACATTATATCAATAATCCACATGCCTATAAACCAATATACAATCATCACCAATGAAATGATTTTCCTGCATTATTTATGAAAACATAAGCGTTAGTTATCCCTTTATTTCTTCCCTGCATGTACATACACACACACACAAACACACATACACACAATGTTCAATTGCTGGACTTTAAGTAAATTATACTAAATAAATAAGGTCAGTTTAAACTCAAAGGTTTAACCAAAAACAAATGAATTGGCCAGGAAACGATATTGGGAAGAACACACCCGGGTTGTTGGCTATTCTTCCTAATGCTCTACCACCAGACTCAAATAGTGAAAAGAAAACTGGAGTTAGAAGATCTGGGATTTAAGTCAGGTATTTACCCTTTATTAATAAGGTAAACTTTGGCAAAGCACATGCCTCCCTGAACCTAATTTGCCTCATTCAATTTTATTCATGTGCATGTTCACAAATATATTTCAAAATCACTCTATTAAATTTCTTGAAATTGTTTAACCTAAGTCTAATTAAGGTTTACCTTATCTGTGCAAAAGATGTTCTTACTTTTCCTTGGCTTCTTAATGATTTTTTGCAACAGTTTCAAAATTTACGTTGATTTCTAGGTTCTAAGTAGCAAAATATTTGAGCTAAAATGTGATTAGGTGCATTCTCTCTCACTTATTCTATGTATGTCTGCCTTTGTCTCTCAGTAACATCAAACTTCACAAGTTTTAATTTGTGACCCTTTTGTCCTCTCATGTGATCATGGTTTTCTAAATTTAAGGAAAATTAATTTCTGGTCCAAATCTTCAAGGTCATCTTATCTTGCCTTGTTTTGTTGCCTCAATTCCAGGAAAAAAAATTCTACATCTCTTATTTTCCTTCCTGGTACTCGTCTCCCAGATGACAAATACCCTACAAATAATAATTCTTAGAGAAAAATATATATGACAAATTTGCAACATAACTGAGTATTGTAAATTCTCCTTATGTCTGTTTACATTATACATTTTGTGCATTTTCTGAAAAAATATAATTAGAAATTGGCTTGTCAATAAGAAAACTTCTGGGCACCTTTCCTATGTTTTCAGTTTGTCTATTTTCAGGTTATGCAAATTAATATCATGTTAAATTATGTGAAAACTAATGAATAAGTTATCTCTCAAAGTGGTAGGATGAATGTAGTACAATATATTACAAACCCCCAAACATGAGATTTTTTTAATAATTATCTACTTCTTTCATTACTATTGGTTATTGAAAGTTGATTATATATGCTTTCTACTGACTTGCTCAGGGACAATCCTTTATTCTTCTTTGTATTTTTCTGTGAACACAGGAAAATGCTGTCTACAAAGCTGATATTTATTGAATCTCTGAAGTAATAATACAAATATATGCAAAATAAATGTTTTGTTAAATGTGCACATTATATAATATTTCTACATATTATGGTATGATATACCATAAATGACATTTACAACAAATTTTTGTTATAAATATCAAAAACACAAATATTGAATTACTAGAACAATCATTCAGTGGTTATCAAGTGCCTACTATATGTCTGTCATTGCGTTAAGTGCTAGATGCCCCATGTATCTAATACTCAAGCTTTTGCTATATGACACTATCAAAACACCTTGATATCCAATGAAAGAGTTGTAAAATATTGGCCCAAAATCAAGATCCACCCATTTTCTACTTTAGTTCATGGTGTTTTTGTGTGTATAACCTCTTAGTTTAAATATCCAGAGAAGTGATGAACATGGAGTGTTTAAAACAAAAGTCTCTAATTGCTTGGCAGGGAATAATATTCTCACACTGCTGTTCCTATCTGTTAGATCATCTAACTCCATGTAGACAAAATACACGAGGCACAGTACATTAATCAGACCTTTGATTTTTCATGGGTGGACAACTCCTTATATAGCTCTATGAGAGTTGCTAAGGCACAAAGAGTTTAAGCTATGGGTTCAAGATCCCAAAGAGAGACACACCAATGGGACTTGAGATGTATCAAAGGCAGCATTTGAATTCATCTTTTTGATTCCAAGGTTATTTTCCTATCCATTTCATGATTCTCAAACAACAGATATATATATATATATTTTAAGTTTTATAAAAAAACACACTAAAATCTAAAAGTATTTATATTTCATATACATGTAGCCTATAGATTTTTAAAAGTAGCAAATTAATGAAGGCTCTTAGCTCATTTAATTGTGCATACTGCCTCTGAAGCATGCCACACACATGAAACTGAAATTAAATCTTCATATAATTGATACTAAAAGAAAGCCAGATATATCACTGGAAGATAGAGTCAGTCATTTAAATGATCTACACTATTGTTCTGAAATTGCTAGAATTTTGTTATGTTCTGTCACATCCTGTCAAAATTCAATAAGTTGTCTATGACAACTATTCTTTTAAAAGGCAATTGACATTGCTAATTATTCTTCCTGGAAGTCTTTTTTTTTTTTACTTTCATAATGGTGTCTGATGATTCATTTGGTGATTTTAAAAATAATTTTAATAAATAAAAGTTGTTCACATGTGATTAAAATATTTATTAGCAATCCTAATATTCTTATGTATCTTTTTATCACTTAAGCTACACAACTTTTCTCTACACTTATAACAGTGCTTCTTAATTTTAATTTCAGTATATCAGGCAAATTTAAAATAATAGAAAATTTTTAAAAAATGAACCCACATGTACCATATGAAACCAGCAATACTGCTACTGGCTTTGTAGCCCAAAGAGATTAAAAAATTTAAATTAGAAATATAAAAGAAGAACCTATATGTGTAAATCATTTAAAGTAGTTCTTTTTGTGGTGGCAAAGAATTGTAAATTAAGGGATGCTCATAAACTGGGGAATGGCTGAACAAGCTGTGGTATATAATTGTGATGGAATGCTATCGTATCATAAGAAATGATGAGCAGGACACTCTCAGAAACTCCTGGAAAAACTTATGTGAACTGATTCAAAGTGAAAAGAACAGAACCACAAGAACATTGTCCACAGTAACAGCAACATTGTACAAGGATCAACTGAATGACTAAGCTATTCTCAGGATATAATGATCCAAAACAATTCTGAAGGATTTATGATGAAAAATGTTATACATCTCTAGAGAAAGAACTAGTGAAATTTGAATGCAGATAGAAGTATACTTTTTTTACTTTCTTTTTTTTTCTTTGTTTTGGCATGTGTTTTCTTTTACACAAGACTAATAAAGAAGTATATTTTACATGACTGCACACATATAACCTATATCAAATTGCTTGCATTCTCAATGAGGGTGAAGAGGAGGGAAGGAGAGAATTTTGAACTCAAAATTTTAAAATACTAATGTTAAAATTGTTTTTACACGTAACTGGGGAAAATAACATACAGTAGTAAATAAAATAAGTAAATAAAAAAACCATGATCCCAGGGCTATAGATCATTAGCTTCACTTATTCTGATCACACAAAATCCAATGACAGTCCAAAAGGAAAGAGGACTGAACTGAGAATGATAGGATCTATATTTTGATTCCCAGATCAAATACTACTTGCTGTGATGTTGGGTAAGTCTTGGGATCCTCACATCTAATGTGAGAAATACTGCTAAAATGTCTTCCATTGCTAAAATTGTATCCACCTGCTTCACCTCTCCTAAATATAGCCAATGCCAAGATCCTACATGTACATTTACAATAGGTACAGCCTCATCCTGGCCCTCTTTTCTCTCTCAACAAAACCTGGTTGTTCTGGTTCTACTCATACATCTATGTCCTCCCTTCCCTCCTTCTCCTTTTTTCTTATTCCTTCTTCTTTTCCCTCTCTTCCTCTCCTTTTCCTTCTTCTGCTATCACCTCTTCTTCCTCGTCTCATTTTTCTTCAACCTCCTACACATGATTGTTCCGCTAGGTTTTGTACTCAGTTCTTTTCATTTCTAATTAAACTATCAGTGAAATTTGTAAGGGTAGAAATTATACGCAAAAATTATATACAGGTTGTGATCTGCATTGGTAAAGGGAATTTTTATACCTAAGTAAGCAAATGTTCTTAAATTGTCAGTATATATAATATATAATTGGTGTTCATTCCAAACATTAAACCAATTTTTTTTACATGCTCAAAAATATTTGAAGTACTTTTAGCCTTTGTGAGCTATCTTTTCTTTGAAACATGCCCCTTATAGCAATTTTTTCTGTGAAGTACCCAAAGGAAGTCAATGACACTTAACAAATAAATAAATAATTAATTGAAGATCCTTGTTTGCACAAATTGCATTTTTTGAAGAAGCAAAGAACTGGAAGGACCTGGAGGGGAATGTGAATGCTCATTGACTGACCAATGGAAGGAAAAATTATGGTACATTAATGTAATGAAATACAGCTTTGTTGTAAGAAATAATGAAAATGATGACTATAGAGAAGCATATAAGAGTTGGCTTTGGGAAAGGGAGAAATATATTGGGAAATGTAAATGAAGGAAAGAGAGATATCAATTATTTTACAATGAATTGTTACCTCAATCATGGCTAGGAAACTTGCAAATTGAACTATTGGTCTACGTGGTATTTAGGAATACTCTAGACCAGAGGTCTGTGAACTTATTGTTCTTGTTTTTATGATAACCATATTCCAATGTCATTGCTTACCTCTATAACCCTTTGCATTTAGTTTATTCATTTATAAACATTTTTCCCCTGAGGCCATAGCCTTCACCAGATTGCCAAGGGAGTCCATGCTAGAAAAAGATCCCCTTCTCTAGACATTCCATTCAATCCAGAGCAAACACACACACACACACACACACACACACACACACACAGATATACTCTGAACAATAAGAGAAGGAAAATATCATGAAAACAACAAGCTCTTTTTTCCAAATTATGAAGATGATCCCCAAATTAATAATTTTAAAAACATCTGATTTTTTTTTACTTTTATACTTGGTGTTTCCAGTACTGTGGTAGTTAATTATTTTCTTCTTTTTATATGTCCTCTGATCCTAAGTTAGCATAATAAAATAGAACATGTTTTTAAAACTTGAATTTCAATATTTTCTATAAATTTCCCTATCATCACATTTAAATTGTCAATGCTTAAAAAGTTACTTTTCTTGCAATGGCTTTCACAACTCCTTTTGCACTTAATTTCTTGAAATAAAAACTGTTACATGTATCCCAAAAATCATGGGGCATGACCATAAATTTTTGAGACAAGTATCCACAAAACGCATTAAAAAACAATTGAGTTGTAATTGCACACATGTCAGTCATTCAAGCATCTATTAGGCACCTACTACATGACAGGCACTGTGCTAAGTGCTGGGGATACAACGAAAAATGAAAGATAATTCCAGCTAA